AAAGTTAACCAAGCGCCCCTTCATTACCAGGGCGGTGAATATATCTTCATTCCTGTCATCATGGGGGGAAGCGTTAAAACCGTATGGGTCATACTCCGCCTGAGATAATCAGGTTCTGACCCAGAGAGCTGGAGGACAGCTCTGGTTCCTTGGATCAAGAACTCTTCACCAGCATGGAAGGCACAATCCCTCCATTTTTTTCAAGGCTGTCATATAGTCGACTCTCTCACGTAATGTAATTTTTTTTTTTTTGGCACTTGCTATTGAGAAAGTTTGTCCAAAAATTAATAGGCGAGTATTATGTAGGTCTTGAAGGTGGTTTTTCATTGTGAGTGTACTTTATCATATATAGGAAAAATGGCAGTGTTTAGAGGAGTTTTATGTAGATCAAACGAGAAGGCGAGAGGGCACTCCCTCAACTACCTCAAGTCATACCTCAGCAACAGAAGCCAATATGTGTACGCAAATGGGGCAAACTCTTCTGCGCAACCAATTACAGTTGGTGTCCCACAGGGAAGTGTCCTTGGCCCTCTTCTCTTTCTCCTATACATAAATGACCTTCCAAATGCTTAGCAATTACTCAAACCCACACTTTTTGCAGATGACACTACATACGTCTTCTCTCACCCGAGCCCAGTCACGCTAGCCAATACTGTAAATACCGAATTACAGAAAATATCTACCTGGATGAGGACTAACAAACTTACACTAAACATTGACAAAACCTACTTCATTCAGTTTGGTAACAGAGCTACAGATGTCCCTCTTAACATAATGATAAACGGATCACCTATCACAAAACTAACAGAGGGGAAATTCTTAGGAATCCACCTTGATAATAGACTCAAATTTCATACACATATACAACAAATTTCTAAGAAAATTTCCAAGACTGTAGGCATACTATCGAAGATACGGTACTATGTTCCGCAGTCAGCCCTCCTGGCCCTATATCACTCTCTTATTTACCCCTATCTCACCTATGGAATTTGTGCATGGGGCTCAACAACAATTAACCATCTCAGACCACTATTACCCAACAAAAGGCTGCAGTTAGAATGATAACAAATTCTCACTACATGCAGCACACTCCACCAATATTCAATACACTAAACCTACTCACCATACAAAACATCCATACTTATTACTGCACCTATTACATACATATAACACTTAACTCTGATATTAACCCTCCCTCAAACATCTCCTTGCCAACCTCAACAGAACACATGACCATAACACAAGGCACAGATCACTCTTTGATGTTCCTCGTGTCCATCTCATGCTATGCAAAAACTCAATGCACATAAAAGGCCCTAAAATCTGGAATTCATTACCTGTAAATATAAAAGAAACACTACCTGTTTATAAATTCAAGTCTCTTCTCAAAGATCACTTACTCACCCAAAACCAAATAAATACTGAATAACTGAACCTTATAAATTGTATATCTTAAATGTTTCTCACAATTGTATCACATAAATGTTAAACCTAAAACCGAATCTAACTTTATTATTTTTTAAATACACTACCTAACAGAATCCTTCATATGACTGAATGCAACCATATGACCTGTCTTTGTAATATTCACTTGTGCTTTATAGTAATCTGTTTACATTAATGTTTTATCACTGATTTCATCATTGCTTAGTTAATCTTAAGTTAATTTTAAGCCAGCCTGTAATGCTATGCATAGTATAAGTGGCTTTGGCATGCTGCTCTTATCTGTATTTTTTTGTACCTCTGTATGTGTGCTCAAATTGGAAATAAATAAATATATAAATAAAGGACAGTTGTTATCGCTGGCAACTGAGTGTAAATGTAAGTGGCTGAGAAGATTCAGTGTAAGTGTGAGAGGTAGCGAGGGAGGGTGTGCGTGGCCTTCCTCTCACAGTCTAGACTTTTAAGACTGGAAGAAACTGGGAAGAATGAGTGGGAATAGAATAACTTGGTGAGAGGAGATATTGCAAGGAGTAGGAGAGAGATACAACTGGTGAACCATCGTGGCAACTGTGTCTACATCTCACGGTCAGTTTTATCTCGTTATTGTTATGTAGCTAATGTTTTCCTCTGGTGGATATTAAAGTTGACTGAATCGTCATTTTTAACTTCCATTGTGTAGTTGTAATGGTGATAAATATTTTCTGGTAGACTGCCTCTTATGCCTCGTATCTCTCTGGATGTGGCAACAATATTACAAATTCCAATTATTGATAAGTCAGAGATATTGACATTCAACTATAACGCCATTATATGTTCATCTGATAAGTTATACGTATTGTTTGTGTTGTACACTTGAGGTGTGTGTAAGTGTCAGTAAGTAATTGTATGGTGTGTGTCAGTGATCGTGATTATTTTTTTGTTGGTGGACTTGATCACAAATGTTTTGAAAACTAAGCTGAGGGATGATCTTGTGCTAGTCTACACTAGAAGGCACTAGTCCATACAAATTGGTAGTAATTTACACTAGGCGGCACTAGACTACACTAGGCGGCACTAG